CTACTACCTACAATTGAAAAATAAGATTTTAGTGAGAGTCATGAAAAGGATTAGATATAAAAAGAAATAGCACATCCACACCTACATTATACAGTATAAAAGTGTATAAAAATTTAAACACACTAATGTTTCAGGGTGCAAACAAGCTACTAATAGACATAAATTAATAAGAATTTCTCCAATGAGCAAAAACTTTAATAATGAATAGTCTTGCAGCTCTTTAGAGACTAACAAAACATGTTGACAGTATCATGAGCTTTTGTGGGCTCAACGCACGTCTGAAACTTCAAATGTAAGGCTGAAAATAATTTGTTTTCTTCTGAAGGGCTACGTCTAGACTGGCCCCTAATTCCGGAAAAGTCATGCAAAGCAGGTAAGTCAGAATAGGGAAATCCGCGGGGGATTTAAATAAACATGTCCGCCGCTTTTTTTCCAGCTTGGGGAAAAGCCGGAAAAAAGCGTCTTGAAAGTAGGAATAAGAGATCCTCAGGAAAAGGGCTTTATTCCGGAGGATCACGCCAGTCTAGATGCTTTTTTCCGGCTTTTCCCCAAGCCGGAAAAAAAGCGGCAGACATGTTTATTTAAATCCCGCGGGGGATATTTAAATCCCCCGCGGATTTCCCTATTCTGACTTACCTGCTTTGCATGACTTTTCCGGAATTAGGGGCCAGTCTAGACATAGCCAAGAAGTGTATTGTGCCCACTAAAGCTCATGATGCCATCTATATATTTTGTTAGTCTCTAAGGTGCTGCTAGACTATTCATTGTTTTTAAGTTTTTCCAGTTACAGACTAACTCGGCTAATTCTCTGAAGCTTTTAATCCACTGAGCAAGTTACTCCATAATTATCTATTAAGGGATTTCTTGCATCTTCCTTTGAAGCATTCAGTTCTGGCTAGTGCTGGAGATGAGACACTAGATAAGATGGATTATTTATTAGATCAGGGACATGACAGTTCTTATGCCAGAGCTCTTCTATGAGAAAGCTTGAGGAGAGACTTTTCAGTCTCTGAAGATCTGAGTTACACAGCATTTTTCTTTCAGAGATCCCCAAGTATCTCAGAAGATGAATAACTATAACCATCCCCCTTTTACAGACTGGAGAACAGAGAGGTTAACTGACATGCCAAGGTAATATAGGGACTCAACTGCAGAGCTGCGAGTAACACTCAAGTCACTTGACTCCCACTCCTGTAACACAGAAGTATGAATTAGGTTGATATAAAGCGACAAAATAAAATTCCCTCCCTTTTTGTTAACACTTGTGTGAAGGGAAAGTAAGATTTCTATAACTTTTGGAAGAATGTGATAGGAATTAATATGTCAACCATTCATACTTTACATAGGATCAATTTAAAGAATAGAAAAAATATAAAAAATGTAAGAGTCCTGTCTCTGTAACTTCAAATGTAAGGCTGACAATAACTTGTTTTCAGAGCTAGCACAGTCATTCAGTGGATTACATTCAGCACATGGGAACCAGAGGAGATCTGAAGAAAAATGTTTTAGATGCAAAATCCCAGAATTTTAAGGATGAATACCACAAGCAGCATAGCAAGACACAAGGGAAGGCTAAATGCCTTCTAAGAGTGGACAAAGGACATATTGGTAATCTGGTAACACAAGTAGAGGATGCAGCTGCCCATAGTTAACAAAGAGCTGTCTACAAAATGACGCAACATATCCATGGTAAAGTCAGACACCAACAAACACTTATCAGGGAAAAGGCCGCCTACTAAAAAAAGAAAAAACAACATTTCAAAGAACTGCTGAACAGGGAGCCACCTAAAGAGGAAGCAGAAGACCTTGATATCAAGAGACACCCCAAATAAGGAGGCAATCATCCAAGCCATCAAATCCTTAAAAAATGGAAAAGCTCCTGGCAAGGATAACTTGAATGCAGAATTGTTCAAGATAAATCCTGAGTTAGTAGCACCTCTGCTGGCTCCTCTTTTTTCATCAGTCTGGGAAAGGGGAAAAGTGCCAGATGAGTGGACCAATGGGGTTATAGTGAAGATACCAAAGAAAGGAGCTCTCTGTGATTGAAATAACTGGCATGGTATCACACTTTTATCTGTGTCAAGCAAAGTATCGTTCAAGATCATAGTTTAGCATATATCAGAAGCAACTGATAGCGCTCTCAGGAAAGAGCAAGCTGGTTTTTAGAAAGGGCATGGATGCACAGACCAGTTCTTCACTCTACAAAGTTTATAATGGCAATGGCAACTCTACATTGAGAAGGGCTTTGATGGTACTCACAGGACCATCCTATAGCACATGCAGAAACATTTGGTACATCCTTTGAGGGGGGTGTATTTGACCAGGACGTGGATGGTTAGGCCTAATGGTCAAAGCAGGAATCAGAATGACAAATTCAGCCATGAAATGGAGCCAAGGGTCAGAGCTGAAGGAAGGCAAGTCTTGGAACAAGCAGAAGTTATCCCAGCTGTAGGCAAATGCTTGTCCAGGAAGAAAGGCAAAGGATATGGTGTAGCCAAGTAGCTAAAATGTAGCTTTATATGATGTAATGTCCTTCAGTGCATCTTTTCAGTCATTCTTTCTGACCTGTAGAAAGGAACAGCGTAGTGTTGTTGATAAAAATGCATTAAGTGGGCTGTTTGTGTTTGTTATTAATGTTAAAGCAGGACTAGACCAAAAGGGTCTATTTTGTCACTATTGTCACGCTTTTACTGTTAGGATTGTTTTCTTCTTTAATTTAAAAGTGTAAGAATATTTTTTGTACTAGATCTGCTTTTACATAAGCAATTGTGAAATTTTTGTTTGAGAATGCAGAATGAGGAATGTGTGTTAGAAGATTAGTGTGAAAGCCATCACTGGTCCCGATGTTCTAGGGTGGAGCTAAGGACAGACGAAAAGCACAAGGAGATTGCTGTATATCCTATTGAGGTGTGGATGAAGGGCAGATTGATGACTTTAAAAAAATAAGGCAAGTACCTATCAATTGGGACAAGATAGCTGTGATATGAGAACAACTTAATAAAACAAGCGTTCGTCAAACAGTGAGGGTATGTCTAGAATACATCCCGAGCCCGTATGCCTTCTAAAATGAGGTTTACAGGATCGGCCGACAAAGGCTTTCTTTGTTGCCCGATCTGCGTCTTGACAGTCGCTTTTTGCCGACAAACTGCTGACTCGGCAAAATGCGGTGGCCATTTTTATTCAAATGAAGCACGGGAGATTTAAATCCCCGCTTCATTTGCAATGTCGGTATGTCTAATTTACATCCCTCTGGCAACAGAGGGATGTAATCTAGACATACCCTGATTGATTATAGCATGGCAGTTTCCCAGTGAAAGAAAACTACTATAAGGGGGGATGCTTTGTCACGGAAAGCCAATATTCTGCAGCATTAGTCCAGACCAACAGAGCCTCGCTCCTCCCTACCTGTGATCAGTCAGGTTGGCCACCATATAGGGATCCAGTCTCTGGACAGGTAACTATTATATCGATTGGAGGGACTGTTTGTGTGTCTATGTAAGCATATGCTAGCTGCTTTACTATTGTATTTGTAATAAATGCCTTTTTCTCCTAAAAAGAGCATCTTAAAAGCACAGGGGGACATTAATACCACAGGATGCATTTTTCATAAATGTAAGACGTTGCTCATTGTATTTATGCCTACATCTCTTAAGTCTTACTGAGTATACAACCAGATATGATCTGTAGACCATTTCTATCACTTTAATAAGGTTTTCTCTATTGCTTTTGATTTGTTTTTTAAGTCTTTAGCCTTTGTCTCCATTAGGCTATGTCTAGACTGCAAGCCTCTTTCGAAAGAGAGCATCTAGACTGCACGCGGAACTTTCGAAAAAGCGGCTTGCTTTTTCGAAAGAAAGCACCCAGTGAGTCTGGATGCTCTCTTTCGAAGAAGCCCTATTTACATTCAAGAACGCCTTCTTTCGAAAGAGGAACTTTCGAAAGAAGGCGTTCTTCCTCGTGCAATGAGGTTTACCGCCGTCGAAAGAAAAGCCGCGTTCTTTCGATTTAATTTCGAAAGAACGCGGCTGCAGTCTAGACGCAGGTGAAGTTTTTTCGAAAAAAGGCTACTTTTTTCGAAAAAAACCCTGAGTCTGGACACAGCCTTAGGGATTTGCCCCAGTTGCAGCCATTGGTGACTAGCCCTGGGTCAAACCTAATTGTGCCAATGAAACTTAGTTTCTAGCAAAGGTTAGCACCACTAGTACAAATAGCAACATTGTCTGCCTACACAAGAGGTTTGCACCAGTGCAGTGACACCAATGGCTGTAACTGGGACCAAGCCCTCGTGGAGATAGGGCTGTAGAATGTTTGAGGCCAAGATCATAGAGATAAACTTTGAAGGGAAGACTGATTTCTGAGTTCTGGGAGAGAACTATATCCTGAAGTACTTGGATGAGGCAAATCCTAAGAAATACCACCCACATACAGTACTGGCTGCAGCGATTAGGCACTTACGAATAGTTGGATGACCTCAGGTGACTTGCACCATTACACTGAATTCCAACTAAGTTCAAACTGTAATAGCTGTGAATGGTAGCATTAAAAATGATACCTGATGGTATCTGGAAGTTAGGTGCAGAGAGACCTCTATGAATCTCACCCCTAATGGGATTTTTCAGAAGCACCAACCTGTAGCTTTAGGCGTCTAAATACCTTGAAAATCTGTCCCTTTATCTAGCCCATCCATCTGCTAGTGCAGGATTGTCTCAGGTAGCATATCAATCTAGTTTTTTAATTCTTATTCAATCTAGTTTTTAAATTTTCTATCACTGGAACTGTATGAGAATCTGTTCCAGTTTTAGCCATGAGTAGTACTAACCAAAGGAACCTAGCGCTCCTTGTCCTTAGATAGCTGCTTAAACAATTTATTGTGAAATTTTGACTTTATACACATAGTCTATACAAAAAGTACTCATAATTAATTATTATTATTCACTAATACACATAGAAATGTATAAGATTTAGACCAAACTTGTTTTTTAAAATAAAAAAAATGCTGCCCTTAGCAGCTCCAAAAGCAGATACCAAGAGGAAGTGTTTACCACCACCAGTTTTTGCCAGCTTTGCTGACATGCAAACATAATCTCGATCAACACAAACAAGTCCATCCTAGGATAAAAACTTATCTGGATTAGAACAAGTTCAGAAGAATTCACAGAAGAGGGGAAATGTGAGCTAGGAGAAAGCAAAACTATCAGTGACACCAGATTCAGTGACTTTGTTTTCTTCCAAATCTCTGCCATTTTTTAAATGGGACATCCCATAGCACTTCATTTTAGAAAAGCATTTAATACTTAACTTAGCTAAGGTTGGGTAATTTCTAACTATGAGAAGAATGAAGTTCTGGAACATCCAACAAGTGGAGGGGCGGCGGGGAGAACGCAAACAACCTAGATAGATTTAAGGTCATTCTTTATATATTTATTTAAGATAGCAGTGGTTTGGATTTAATAACCCAGGAGCTCCCTTGCAGCCTCCTTTAGCTTTCTTGCTTAGGGGTTTGAAAAAACACAAGCCCCCATGCACAGCAAATTACAATGCTGTAAAGTGCTGGTGTGAACGGGCTCCCAGCACTGGGAGCTATGCTCCTCACGTATGTGCTTTACCTAGAGCACTGGAAAAGGGCTGTGACCACACAGCCCTGTTAAAGCACTGCCCTGGCAGCCCTTTGAATTTGGAAGTGTGGACAAAGCCTAAGTCAGTAATTCAAAGATTGGTTGTCTTACTGCTGGAGTTCAGCAGAATCTCTAAATAAATTAAGGTCTCAGTTTTTTTCATTAATGGCCTAATCTTAAAAAATTCTGTGTACATCCTGAGGAGTACAGAGAGCCCTAATTTCCTACTGAAGTAACACCATAATATCTACTCCTGTATGTACAGGTTAGGTCTGTTGGTACTCAGTGTAGAATCTGAAAGCACACAGAAAACATAAAGAAGCCAATATTTAAGTTATTTAACCCATGGCTTAGTAAATTCCTTACATTTCATCTTTTCTTAATATGAATATTTTAAACGTGGCTAAACAAGCCCTCTATAAGTCAGTCACCAGCCAGTAGGAAAGACAGTACATCATGTGATAGTATTAGGATAGTTCTTAGATTTCTGGGTATGCTTTCAGAGTTGTGTGTCTTGTTTTGCAAATGTGACAAAACCTTAGTCCTTCAGAAAAAATGAAGATTTTTGCCTTTACAAAACTAATTAAAAAAAATAGAAGCTTCCTTCAAACTACAAATGATCCTTATAAATATTAATTTCAACTTTTTTTTTAAAGTGATAGTTTGGAGTATTTTGAGTCTGTGTTAAATCTCTCATTCTTTGTATCAGCGTCTTAAAAAAAATCAGCCAATCAGAATCCCCTAGACCGACGCTGTCTCTCTCCGTTAATCCAAAGCCAGTAAAGGGATAATTTGATTAAACTGAGACCCTAATTTATTTAGCTTTAGTTCTGGATCAACCTCTCCTTAATAGAGTGCTGTCGTCTCCAATTGTTTGATGAAAATTAAAGTGACATAAATACCATGGGACTTTTTCAATCTGATTAGTCAGCTAACTTGCATCAATACTACCCCAGCCATCAGACGCTGGCGTCCTTCCTTTCACTAGCTTTACTAACAACTGACAAGTTCTCCTTGAAGAACTGGCACCCACGCTGCCACTCAGACCCCCACACTTAACCCATCATCTCTCCTCAATGGGTTCTGTTTGACAAGGTGCCCACACCTTTTTTTCACTGCTGTACCCTGGACAAAGCTAAATATTGTTTTATTAGCAATCAATAGCCTGTTAATCCCAAATGATTTCACAAATCCACTGAGCTCTCAAACTCATTATAAACATTCGTTTTTCTAAGCTGCTAAATTCAGATGGGTTTTCTCCTTTCTTCCCCCTACCATCAACATGTGGCATTTTAGTTGTGAATAAAGCTAAAAATGCCTGTTGTCTTTAATGTTGCATTGAACTGGCCTCAGTTCTCAAAGACTTAAGATACACTTTAAACATGACCAAATATTTAGCACAAAAAACTCCATAGATTTAGGATCTTCATGAGGATTTCCACCAAATCTTCTACTTTCTAATCTACGAGTTAAAACCAAATGGTAATAATAAAGTTTCTACACCTTTCTTTTGCCTCCCTTGCCCCATGCAACAACATAATACATCCTTGTTGATTCTGCAGCCAGCCATAATGGAACAATCACAGCAAAAATACATTAATTACAGTATATTAAATAGCAACACAGTTAACCAACTGCTTAATGGTGGATTCCATGTCCAACAATTGGCAAGCAGAATTGGGTATGCCTGCTGCATTCCAGTGGCCCATTTGTTTGTATATTGGGTCATGAACATTTCTTCTTTGAAGTCAGAAAAGGATGAGCCAAGATGAATATCCTATCTATTGACTAATTCAGCCTTTGCCCATTCATAAAATCTGCTTGTTTCACCTTATTACAGTGATGTTGATGACTAAGAAAGAAGCTAATATTTACGTATCCAAAGTAACTATTACTTGCCTTGCTGTTACAAACAGGCAGGTGGATTTTTACAAGTGTAGACAGTTCTATATATTCGCATTCTGAATTTTTGTCTTTGTTGCGTATTCCATCCTCTATTTCTGAGAGCACTGAAATTCAACACTATAGATTAGAAAAACACAAATCCCCCACAAGACTAATATCACTCACAAAAGTGAAACAAAACATGGGCCCCAGTGGTAAAGGTTTGACCTAGAATCATGACTACATCCAAGTTTTCCTAAATTTGGGAGTGGAAGGAGGAATATTAGTCGTTCTACTGTTTCTATGTTGATGGAAAGAAGGGAATGAGAAAAAGGAGGTTTGTACAATACATCTGCAATGTTAGAACTAAGCTTTTTTTCCCCACTTACTGCTCCTCCTTTTGCTGTTGTGGTACCAAGACAACAGAATCCAATATCATGACTTCGAAATGCTGCAGAATATTCATCCAATTTTTCAAAGTCTACCATCTGTTGAGTCTAAAACACAAGGGTAGCAAAAGAATAACATGAAAACATTAACAAATAAAGCAAGGTTAAAACTGACACCATTAAGGTTGTCATATGACTTGCCACATTTTGATATGCCACTTCTTCAAAAGTCAGTATTCTACGTCCTATGATGGTGACATTTCAAAACTTCTTTTCACAACTCTTTGCCAGTTGCTCCTGATGCACCCAGGATAAAACAAGATTTATTTTTTTTTGTCGTTTCCTGAAGCTTCTGTATGTTCTCTAGCTCAGCCACTCTGTACATGAGCAAAATAAATCATACAGTTCTTTTAAAAAGTCTGTACTGGTCCCTTGCTCTCCAGTCCAGAGAGGCTACTCTGCCTTGTTGTATTCAGACTCAGTCCTTAGTCTTGGGTCACACTTTTGGGGCTAAATCGTAGCAGCCGAGAGCTGTGGGCTTGTCTGACAGAAACAAGCAGATAACAATAGCCTGGTACTCTTGCCCCTGAGCAAGCAGGACCTGGCTTAGTGCCTTGGTCAGTGCATGGGGCTTTGCACCCTTCAGACCTCTCTGTACATAACTCTGGTTTTCTTAAGCAAGTCCTGCAAAAGGGTGCTCCTCACCCACCCTTCACCACTGGCCTTCCAGACCTTTTTATTGGGCTTCTGTACTGAAAGCCCCCTGGCTTTTCTCCCTTCACAATCTTAGCTGACTGGATACACTGCAGCCAGTTCACTTTCAAATAGCACTTAGGGGCCAACTATTCACACTCGTGAGCCACAAATCCCATTTCCTCACTCCCTAACCCAACGCCAAATGGCAAAACTATTTACCTTTTGGAGAGGGTGAGGACCCCCAGTGGGTCAGCTTTATTCCACCCTGGTCCTATGGTCTGCCAGGGATAACAGTTGGTGGCTCCTTCATGGAGCCATGCATGTGGGTGTATACTTGGCATGATTCATCCCCTTTCTGAAGTCTGTCCATTCCGCAGTGAGAGGGAAAACCTGCACATGCTTATCTGGAATGCACCAAGTTGCAACCCCTCTTCTGGCTTCTGCAGAACCTCTTGTTGAGGTTCTGGCTGCACTTTTCCCCTCATCTGTTTATATTCTCACACCTTGACTGTGGCCCCACAAAGTTGTGAGACCTCCTCCTGGCAATGGCCAAAGTGGCCATCTGTAAAACCAGGAACATGCTGGCAACTGTGGGGCCTATTTCCGTTCCTCCCTGTTAAATATCGATTAATTGAATATTTGATTAACCACATGCATTCTTATCAGTTACTTGACTATTCTGTAGTCCCAAGGGGGTGGGGTTGGCATCCAGTTCAATCCGGCCCCACTCCTGAGCAGCACCCTGCCACTCCACACTACTGCCTCTGATACAGAGATTTATATTAAGCAGCAGCATGAGGTGCCAGGCAGGAGCTGGTACACAAGGGGAGCCAGTTTAAATACCAGCTCCCCTTGCGGACAAGCTGCCTGTTGCTCCGTGCTGATACAGAGGCAGCAGCACGGGGTTGCAGCAGCCCTTATCCTGGTGATGGGAGGCCAATCCAGAACTGAGCCAGGCAGCCTGCCTACCTGCCTCCTAATACACTTTAAATGCAGAGCTGCAGAAGGGGTAGGTCCTGGACCTAGCACAAGAACTGAGCCCGACTGCTGGCCAGTCTGGTAAAAAAATATTTCCGGGGGGAGGTGGAGAGGGGAAATGCATGTATACGGCAGTACACAGGCAATCCAGGAAGTTTTTGGAGAATGTTGGGGATAACTTCTTGACACAGGTGCTGAAGGATCCGACCAGGGGCCGTGCGCAGCTTGACCTTCTGCTCACAAACAGGGAGGAACTAATAGGGGAAGTGGAGGTGGGTGACAACCTGCGAAGCAGTGATCATGAGATGGTAGATTTCAGGATCCTGACCAAAGGAAGAAAAGAGAGTAGTAAAATACACACAGATTTTGACTCCCTCCGAGATCTGATGGGCAGAATCCCCTGGGATGTTAACATGAAGGGGAAAGGAGTCCAGGACAGCTGGCAGTATTTTAAAGAAGCCTTATTGAAAGCACAGAAAGAAACCATCCCGACGTGTAGCAAGAGAGGCAAACATGGTAGGAGACCGACTGGCTTACAGGGGAAATCCTTGGTGAACTTAAGCACAAAAAGGAAGCTTACAAAGAGTGGAAACTTGGACAAATGACCAGGGAGGAATTTAAAGGTATAGCTCGAGAATGCTGGGGGGTTATCAGGAAGGCGAAAGTGCAAATGGAATTGCGACTGGCTAAGGATGTGAAGGATAACAAGAAAGGTTTCTACAGGCATCTTAACAAGAAGGTGATCAGAGAGGGTGTGCAGGCCTTAATGGATGAAGGAGGTAACCTAGTGACAGATGATGTGGGGAAAGCTGAAGTACTCAATGCTTTCTTTGCCTCTGTATTCACGGACAAGGTCGGCTCCTGGACTTCTGCGCCAAGTGACGCAAGATGGGATGAAGATGGACAGCCCGTGGTGGGTAAAGAACAGGTTAGGAACTATTTAGAAAAGCTAAACATACACAAATCCATGGGTCCGGACTTAGTGCATCCGAGGGTACGGAAGGAGTTGGAAAATGTCATTGAGGAGCTTTTGGCTATTATCCGGATGACTGGAAAAAGGCAATGTAGTGCCCATCTTCAAAAAAAGGGAAGAAGGATGATCCAGGGAACTATAGGCCGGTCAGTCTTACCTCGGTTCCTGGAAAAATCATGGAAGGGATCCTTAAGGAATCCATATTGAGGCACTTGGATGAGAGGAAAGTGATTAGGAATAGTCAAGTGCCCATCTTCAAAAAAGGGAAGAAGGACGATCCAGGGAACTATAGGCCGGTCAGTCTTACCTCGGTTCCTGGAAAAATCATGGAAGGGATCCTAAAGGAATCCATTTTGAGACACTTGAATGAGAGGAAAGTGATCAGGAATAGTCAGCATGGATTCACAAAGGGCAAGTCGTGCTTGACCAATCTGATTAGCTTCTATGATGAGGTAACTGGCTCAGTGGACATGGGAAAGTCAGTGGATGTTATATACCTTGACTTTAGCAAGGCTTTTGATACGGTCTCCCACGATATTCTTGCCAGCAAGTTAAGGGAATGCGGATTGGATAAATGGACGGTAAGATGGATAGAAAGATGGCTAGAAGGCCGGGCCCAGCGGGTAGTGATCAACGGTTCGATGTCAGGATGGCGGTCGGTTTCTAGTGGAGTGCCCCAAGGTTCGGTTCTAGGACCGGTTTTGTTCAATATCTTTATTAATGATCTGTCTGAGGGGATGGATTGCACCCTCAGCAAGTTTGCGGATGACACTAAGCTGGGGGGAGAGGTAGATATGCTTAAGGGCAGAGATAGGGTACAGAATGACTTAGACAAATTGGCGGATTGGGCCACAAGAAATCTGATGAGGTTCAACAAGGACAAGTGTAGAGTCCTGCACTTGGGACGGAAGAATCCCAAGCATAGTTACAAGCTGGGGACCAACCAGTTAAGTAGTAGTTCTGCAGAAAAGGACCTGGGGGTTACAGTGGATGAGAAGCTAGATATGAGTCAACAGTGTGCCCTTGTAGCCAAGAAGGCTAATGGCATATTAGGTTGCATTAAGAGGAGCATTGCCAGCAGATCCAGAGATGTCATTATTCCCCTTTATTCGGCTTTGGTGAGGCCACATCTGGAGTACTGTGTCCAGTTCTGGGCCCCCCACTACAAAAAGGATGCGGACGCATTGGAGAGGGTCCAGCGGAGGGCAACCAAAATGAAAAATGATTAGGGGGCTGGAGCATATGACTTATGAGGAGAGGCTGAGGGACTTGGGTCTGTTTAGTCTGCAGAAGCGAAGGGTGAGGGGGGATTTGATAGCAACCTTCAACTTCCTGAAGGGAGGTTCCAAAGAGGATGGAGAGAGGCTGTTCTCAGTAGTGACAGATGGCAGAACAAGGAGCAATGGTCTCAAGTTGTGGTGGGAGAGGTCCAGATTGGATATTAGGAAAAACTATTTTACTAGGAGGGTAGTGAAGCATTGGAATGGGTTACCTAGGGAAGTAGTGGAGTCTCCATCCCTAGAGGTGTTTAAGTCTCGGCTTGACAAAGCCCTGGCCGGGTTGATTTAGTTGGAATTGGTCCTGCCTAGAGCAGGGGGCTGGACTTGATGACCTTCTGAGGTCTCTTCCAGTTCTATGATTCTATGATTCTATTATTCTAGTCTAAAGCATTAACCTATATGCTTTTGTCCTGCCTAGAGCAGGGGGCTGGACTTGATGACCTTCTGAGGTCTCTTCCAGTTCTATGATTCTATGATTCTATGATTCTAGTCTAAAGCATTAACCTATATGCTTTTGCTTATCAGTTAACCCACTACATTATTACACCCCAATTCTGACTCTTCTTGCGGGCTCCCACAGCAGGCTATTGCAGCCTGGTGAGTCTTCCTCTATAAGAGTGTGTCTAGACTACAGGGGTTTTTCGAAAAAAGTGGCCTTTTTTCAAAAAAACTTCCCCTGCATCTAGATTGCTGCCACGTTCTTTCAAAATTAAATAGAAAGAACGTGGTGGTTTTTTCGACCACAGTAACCCTCATTTTATGAGGAAGAACACCTTTTTTCAGAAGTGCTCTTTCGAAAAAAGGCATTCTTGAAAGCGAACAGGGCTTTTTCGAAAGAGGGCATCCAGACTGCCTGGGTGCTCTCTTTCAAAAAAGCAGCTCACTTTTTCGAAAGAAGTGGTTGCAGTCTAGATGCTCTCTTTCGAAAGAGCTTTGTAGTCTAGATGTCCCCTCTTGAAATAAGGGATAAGAAATCTTTCGGAAAAGGCTTTATTTTCCGCAAGATCAGCGTCTAGACTGGTGCTTTTTTCCAACAAAGCTCCGTGTGGAAAAAAAGCGGCAGCCATTTTTATACTAATGAAGCGGGGGAGTTTTAAATCCCTGCTTCATTAGCAATTGTGATACGTCTAATTTACATCCCTTTTACGAAAAAGGGATGTAGTCTAGACGTAGCCCACATGTCTATTCTTATTGCGCTCACCCAAAATAGTGTTCCTTTTTTCTAAAAGTGATGAACTTTGTTATGAACACACTACATCACTCTGATGTTGCATTTTCTTTAGAAAGAACTTGTAGAAGAGTAGTGGGCAGAGTGGGAGCAGGGCCTGGGGTGGAGCAAGCATGGAAGATGGGGAGGGCATAGCTTCACCCATCTTCCCTGGTTTTCACACATTCCAGCAGAACTCCTCTGGGCAGCGACAGCTATCTCCCAAGCCCTGACCAGTGGCTTGCTGAAAC